TTATAAGCAACATTACACAGGCTGATTGGTCGAAGCTCCGTCATTCTTGTGGACCTCTCTGTTTTGGGAATCATACAGATGTTAGTTTCATTTAGTTGAGGGTCCAAAACTCTTGAAACCAAAAACTTATTCACCAAGTCTATCTTAACAGAGTTTGCCGAACCTCTTCCTCCGTCGCCATTCTCAATAATCTGTGATTCATTTGCGGTGTAATATAAGATGGGATTTCCGCCAGGAAAGCATCAAATTTCGATGGGGTGGTGGAAGTAAAACGAGCCTCAAAATACTTCACTGCTACGTTTTCCACCCCAGATTCCTCCGTTACCCAATTGTCAGCATCATCATGTAGACCCACAATCCTGTTACGCACCCGTCTCTGTTTCGTCAAGGCATGATAGAAATGTGTATTCAGATCTCCCGATGAATACCACAGGTTCCTGCTTTTTTTATACCAATATTCTTCTTCATCTTTATATGCATCCTGTAATTTCCTTGACACTTTCAAAATATCCTCTTGGGACCTGGTATAGTCCGTTTGTACTTCTTCCAAAGCTCGTTGAAGATCTGCAATTTTTTCCTTCCCATATGGGGGATTATTTTTCCTCCACCGCGCTATTTCATGTCAACAGTTGCTGATTTTTTTGACCAGATCACCATCTGCGACACCAGGGGCTGCCGTCCAACCAGCAACTATACAATCCATTAACCCGTCCTGTCCAAGCCATCTCTTATCAAATCTAAACTGCCCTCTCCTCTTTTGATCTTTATCCTCCATATAAGCCACCACTGGGCGATGATCAGACCCCACCATTCCCAAGTACTCTGTGTGAGAACATGGAAAGGTAGTATGCCATTCTTCATTTGCTAAAGCACGATCTAAACGGCAACATCTCATCACTGCTCCCTTTCCCTTCCCCTGTCGCCCTTGCCATGACATTTTATTCCCTCGAGCCGGAAATTCCAATAAAACGCTATTGCGAATCATATTATTGAAGGGAACGAAAGAGGCCAAACTCCGCAAACCCCCCCCCCCATCCTTCTCATGGTTGCCGGTAATCTCATTTAAATCCCCAATAATGAACCAAGGGTCAGATCGTGCTAGCCCATATCTGGTCAAACGCTCCCAAACTTGCTCTCGTAAATCCGAAACTGGTTCCCCATAAAAAAAAGTTAAAAACACTTGTCTCCCGATTGCTACCGCTTCTACATCGATCATCCGATTGCTTGAGTATAAGATATTTACCTCATACTCATTATTATAAAAAAGTGCTAAACCACCACTCCTTCCCACCGGATCTACAGTGACCAGTTTATCATATCCAAAATGAGCTTGAAACCCTTGAACAAACTCAACCTCTTGTTTTGTTTCTGATAAGAATAGAAAGTCTGGTTTGTGCTTATGGCATATTTCCCTTAAGTAACTAATTGTCCATTTACTTCCCATGCCTCTACAATTCCAGCTTAAAACTCTCATAAAAGAAAGACCGGTGGAGCTCGTATGAGCCGGGAAACCGCGGGTATAAGGAAACCCAACAATTGGTCCAACACTTATCCATCATAAAGAACCCATAGACTATGATTTTTCGTTTTTGCATCCCACTTAGGACGTTGATGCCATTAGTTTTCTTCCGGAGAATCCCATATACGCGAACGAAATATAATATATTGAGCTGCCATGGTTTTAATATTTCTTTGAGTCGATTCCTAAACAAAGCATGAGTAACTCTGCCTCCCCCAGGAGGTAATTCATATTGCCCTTCGTTTTTACCATAGCGTACGGAATAAAGTTATCTCTAAGAACTGGAAAGTTTTGTCTCATTTAGTAGAGACAGCACATCAACATTGAGGCTCCCAATCTCCGTTGGAAACCAAACATCTCCCTCTTTGGAAGCATGAAGTTGATTTGAGGAGACCAACTGCTCTTTATGAGGTCCATGAATCATATTAAACCTGCTAGAACAAGCACTCCTATCAAATCCTCGAGAATCATAATGCCCAAAGAAAACCCATAAGATCCATTAATTCCCATGAATATTGGTAAGCTCAAAATCGATATTAACCATGACATTATGCCCACAATAAAGCCACAAACACCAATATAACCAAAACAAAACACCATTTTTATTCCATATCTCAAATTTAAGAAAACGAAAGACAACCATGAAACCCTCAAAACAATTAAGTTTCATGCCAGGCATAAACTGAAAGGAAAAGCGAATGCTACTAGAGCTTATTTCGACAAAGAAAAACATAAAACCAAATTCCACTACCCCGCTGTAATGGCTTTCTCCCACCCTTGTGTAACTCATAAGGCTAGAACTTCAAATGGTTGGCCTTCGGGATAGCGTTTCCTCTGCCGTCCGGTGGCTTGACATTCTCCCCCTGTCTTGCTCCTCCTTTAGCCGTGGCTTTCTTTCTCGGGGAAAGCAATGCTGAAGCAGTCCGCATCTTAGTGCTTCCGAGTGTGTTGCTTAATGGTTTGACAAGCCTCCTACGCGTCCCTTTGTTCTTCTCCTGCTCACCGTCCACCGCTTCCCCTATAATCTTTTGTCCTCTGCCTCCACACTATCCTCAGCCCCAAACATGGCTTCCTCTTCCTGTTCTTTTAGCAGCTCCTCAAACTCCTCTTTCGGGTTCTCTTTCATAAACTCTTCTGAGTCCATGTCGATCCCATTTTGTAACAAACAAGCTCTGATCTCCTCCATATCCATTGCGTCCTCCTCCCCTAACATTAAATTATTTTCAACCATAGTGGACACAGTTTGTACACCTTGTGCCTCATCTATAGGATCCGATATGACCTTCATTCCCGGAGCTTGAGTATCCTGGAGGGCTTGCTGAAATTCCAAAGAGGCCTGTTGACTGTCCTCATCATTCTTAATCTCCCCCTCTTCTGGACCTTCGCCCAGAATTCCTTTAATAAGACCACCGGTATTCCCCTGTTGAGGTCTACTCTCCTTGTCGTTCACCCTAGCCTCACCATTCCTGGAATATGTCAAACCCGATCCTTCCCCATCCCTTTTTTGACTACCACGATAGTGGCCTTGATACATATTCCCCCTCTCAGCCACCTTTCTCCATCTTGTGTCCGGTTCCTCAAACATCTTACCCTTTCCTTTACTATGGTACTCTCTGCCTTCCTTAACCTTGCTAAGCTGATTCCCATTTCCATGTCCATTCAGCACGAAGCCTTTATAACTTCGAGCCCGATCGTCATGTTTCCCATCCTCATATCTTCCAGAGGTTTCGTCTCTGATCTCCCTTCTCACCGGGCTCTTCTGCGGACTCCGCTTAATCAAAGGACAGATGTCAGACTTGTGACAAAGACTGAAGCAAGTTAGACAATAACCGAATAGCTTCTCGAATCGCAGAGATACATGCGCTTCCACCCCCTCATAGAATTCTCCTCCCTTAAACTCCACTGTAGTGTCAAAACACATCTTCTTCCACCACCACCTGAATACGCTTATTATCCAGATCAAAAAAAAAAAAAAAAACTTTACTTTTATAGATTTTTACAATATACAAAATTCTCTATAACTCTTTTCAAATTTAACAAATCTCTCAACTCTTAAAATCAACAAACTCTATGGAAATCTAAGTCCCATTAATACCCCGTAAATAATGTATCTGACAAAAGTTAAAAAGGACATTTCCCAACCAGCAAATAAAAATTTGGAGTAACACAACAAGCAAATTACAAATTTAAAAGTTACCCAATTTGCCAATTTTTTCAACAATCATCTTAGTTTTTTTTTTAAAAAGAAAAAGAGAACAACCACGTATAGTTTGGTTCATCTTACTTTTTTTTTTAATTCGATTTCGTTGATTCTAATATATTTCGTCTGCATTATTCATGAGTGATATCTAAATAAAAAAATTGTTAGATACATGATATTGTATCTATTTATAAAATTATAAATTTGTAAGAATATCTTATAATAGTATGAGACAAATTTTTAACAGATAGTTATGGTACAAAAAAAAAGTTCAACAAATGCTAAAATAATTTTCAAAACAGAAATAGTAGAAACATTAAGACTGATTATTTTTTAAAATTAAAATTGAAACTTTAATATAAATTGAAAAAAAAATATTTTCTGTTAAATAAAAAATATATCTTTATCATTTCTGTGATACCAAAAAAATTATATGTGTTTTATAAATTTAATTTTATTATTTTATCAAATTGTGTTACATTTGGGTGAAAACATGAGTTAGCTTACAAATATTTAATTTACAAAATCCTCGAAACAAATAGAATATTATTGATCTTAATTTTAGATTAATATTTTACACTATGTCAAATAAACTAAAATATTACAGTAATTTTCGTTGAAAATAATTTTCAGTGTATATTATTTTTGTAATTTTAAATGGAAAGATAATTTTTTAATTTATAAATTTAATTTTATTATTTTATCAAATTGTGTTACATTTGGGTGAAAACATGAGTTAGCTTACAAATATTTAATTTACAAAATCCTCGAAACAAATAGAATATTATTGATCTTAATTTTAGATTAATATTTCATACTATGTCAAAATATTACAGTAATTTTCGTTGAAAATAATTTTCAGTGTATATTATTTTTGTAATTTTAAATGGATAGATAATTTTTTAATTTCTAAAAAAAAAATAATGAATACTTAACTTAGTTTTAACTCAAATAAGCTATTATTTAAAATGCTTACTAAAGTTTACAATATAATTTAAAATACATATAATTGTTTTTCGCCTTAGACCATAACTTTTATTTTTTCAAAAAATTTATGAAACTAAACACATATTTATATTAATGTATTTTTACTACCCAAACCTAAATAATTAAATAGTGGTTTTTTTGAACAGTTTATAAAAATAATAGTTAATCTAGAAAAAAATTCTCTATTTTAAATGGTTAAATGTAGAAAATTTAGTTTTTCACATAACAATTTTACATGTGAGCTAGAGAAATATAAAAAGACGAAAAAGACGGAAAAAAAAGGAGATCAATCTGTCCGAAGAGTGAACACTCTTAGTCAGAGAATCTGAGGAAAATCGCAGAGGGAGAAGTAACAATGGAGCCAGTCATAATCGGTGCGCTAATTCTGGATGTTCACGCAAACCCTTCTACCGCACCCATCTCCGGAACCACTGTCCCAGGCCAGGTTGGGTTCTCATAAGTCTCTCTCTTTTGATTGATTTCTCGTGTGCAATCAAATCTCGCGTATAGTGAACCCAATCATGTGAATTTTAATGTAGTTGATTTTGCTTTTTATGTATAAGGTATTGTTTGCACCTGGTGGTGTAGCAAGAAATGTAGCTGATTGCATATTTAAGCTTGGAGTAAGACCTTTTATGATTGGCACTTTGGGGATCGATGGCCCAGGTTTATTTATCATTTCTTTCCCTTATTCAACATTGATCAGTCTTTCTTCATTGAAAGTTTCTTGGGAGCTATTAATATGCCTCTTTCTGCATTCATTAAAACAGCCAATGTATTGTTGAAAGACTGGAAGCTCTCTACTGAAGGTTAGACTTTTGTGTCACAATTTTACTTAGTTGAAAATCCTTGACCTTTACATAGGTTTTCAACCCTTTTTTTTTTATATTACGAATGCTGTTTTGTATTTATCTTTGTCTCTGGTGTTACAAATTTAATATTATCAATTTTTTTGCTTTTGTTTTGATCAATGACTCAATGATGTAGGAATCTTGAGACGTGAAGACATCAATACTCCCATTGTATCTCTTGTATATGATATTAACGGAGAAGTTGCTGCTGGCGTTGCTGGTGTGGATGCAGTTGTACGTATCTTTGCATCTAACCGTTCTTAGTGATTATGTCTTTTTTTGTCATTTTATTGTTTACAATGTTTCCTCGGGCAGGAGAAGTTTCTGACACCTGATTGGATCCAGCGGTTTGGACAAAACATAAGCTCCGCTCCTGTCCTTATGATAGATGCAAATCTCAGCACTCTTGCTTTGGAAGCATCTTGCAAATGTAATTTTTATACTTTCTCAGTTTGATAGTCTAGTACTCATCCTTTTTGTCTCTCTTCCTAACACTATGATTTTTCTTGAAGTGGCTGCCGAGTTCAATGTTCCTGTATGGTTTGAGCCTGTGTCAGTCACTAAGTCGCAGAGAATCGCCTCAGTCGCCAAGTATGTGAGTGTTATGTCTCCATACTCGTGAAGGTTCGGTTACCTTTACTTGAAAATCAAAAGGATTTATGCTTTTTTTTCTGAATAGGTAACTATAGTATCACCAAACCAAGACGAGCTCACAGCAATGGCCAAGACTCTCTGCGCAAGGAGTATGTTCAATACCTTTAAACCAGAAGAAAACAAGCTTTCACCAGAAGATGTATTCTGTGCGTTGAGGCCAGCCATTTTGGTTCTCCTTGAAAGTGGTATTAAAGTGGTTATGGTAACACTTGGCTCCAATGGAGCTCTGTTATGCTCAAAGGGTAACCCGAAGAAGGCTCTCAACATAAACAGAAAGTTCCCGAAAAGAGTAGAGATCTTCAAAAGGGTGCAACTCATATGTTCACCGAACCGATTTTCTGAACCGGGATTTAGTAACAGCACGAGTCTTTTCGCAATGCATTTCCCAACCGTCCAAACAAAAGTCAAGAAGCTCACTGGTGCAGGGGATTGCCTAGTAGGAGGTACACTCGCGTCGCTGAGCGATGGTTTAGATCTGTTACAGAGTTTCGCAGTTGGCATTGCTTCTGCTAAAGCTGCTGTTGAGTCAGATGATAATGTGCCTCCTGAGTTCAAGCTGGATCTTGTTACTGGTATGAACTAGTTAATCTTGTCTTATATGAATCATGGTTTGAAGTTTCGGTTTAGCTCACTAGATATTTTGGTTGTATTGGGTCTGAGCCGGTTTACACTTTTGGATACAGATGATGCGGAGTTGGTTTACAGTAGCGCCAGAATGTTGTTGGCGCATCAGTCATTGCTGTGAAGAATTATCTTTTTGTGCTTTTTGGCTTGGTTTTGTTTATAGTTTGCTCAGCAAGTAGACCATTTGCTTAGTAGGACTGAACACGGTATTAATAGAGAAACCACTGTTGGGGGTGGATTTACATCCTCTTTCAAGACCTATTAAACAATGAATTAGGCCCATATTATTAGGAAACCCTATGTTCCATTGTTGTATAAATAAGGAGACACTCTTTCTTAGCAAAGAGATCTCTCTTTCTTTCTTAGACCTAGAACACTTCTTATAAAGATTTATAGATTCACTTTACATTTCAAATCATTTGGTCATAAATCTTTGATCAATAAAAATCTATTTGATGTTCCATTTTCATTTAAATTCTTTGTTGATTTCGCTTAAACCTCAAAGATTTAAGGATTCAATTTTTAAATCTTTTATTGTTATTATTCTAGAAATACATCACTTTTTGATCAAACAGTTGGCGCTAGAAGGAGAAGGAGGGGGTCAAGGAGAACAATTTTCAAAGAAATCAAACCACGAGAATCGTTTTATAAAACTATAAGAATCGTTTTATAAAACTCGAAGAATCGTTTTACAAAACCGCGAAAAACCGAAACCGCCGTAAAACACGAACTAGCCTCGTCCCGGCTAGTTCGCCGTTGGGCGAACTAGGAGCTTCCCGGACAGTTCTACCGACGAGCTGGACCGGTCCGGCTCGGTTTGCCGTACGTCAAACCGACCATCCCGAGCCTCGATCTCCTGCATCTCCGATTCAATGCTTACATCCTTTGATACGGTCGTGTTCTGAACCACGATCAAAATGTCTCCCGTTTCGTCTCGATCCGACTTATCATTCGAGTTTTACGATAAAAACCGTAAAACTTTGTTTTCTCGGAAATAACTCGAGGAAATCGTATATAACGGCGACGATTAAATGAAACACCGAATATTGCCTAAGCTATTCCATTTATTCGAGATTTTTCGTTAAAATCATAAAAAACGCGTTTTTAATAAAAACGGTAACGATTAACTCGGGGAATTTACTAAAAACGGCATCGGATCAGGAAACGATTTCGTTAAAGTCGTAAATCGGATTTTATCGTACGACGGCCCGAAAGGTCCTAAAACGCGATAAAAACCCATCTCGCGATATTAACGAAATCTAACCCGAAGATTCGATAACGTTTTGATGGTTTACTCGCAGAATGAAGATAAATGTCAAGTTTGAAGATAAATGGCAAGTCTGAAGATAAATGGCAAGTTTTAAGATAAATGGAAGATTTCCGCGAGAAAAAAGGAAGGATCAAGATAAATGGAAGATTCCCGATAAACTCGAATTCGGGCGAAATGGAAAGACTAAAACCGCCTAAGAGGGAGTATATAAGCAAGAGGCATAAGGCAGAAGCAGGGACACACGATTTTCAGAGCTCTCACCACCAAAATTAGCATTTAGGTATATTTTTGTTTTCTGTTAGCGAGCTGCGTCTCAACTAGGGTTTTCGTTCTTAGACTTCTAGAATTAAGGCTACTCTCGTTGTAACAGTTCTTACGCGGATTCGGAATAAGAACCTTCTTGCTCACAATCTCGTTCATTCTCTTTTTAATTCTAAGTTCATCGTCTTCTTAATTATCGTTGTGCGGTTCTACAGATAGCCGGTTCCTCTGGAAACTTAGTGTTTATCCGAAGTTTCCTTATTTACGATTTATTGACAGTAGGTGGATTTTGGTTCCCACAGTTTGGCGGTAGAAGGAGGGGGGGGGGGGTCGGACCTATCTCACACCGAAGCCGCAACATGTCCAACGAAGAAACGATGACTGGTGACAACCAAACTCGCAACGAACACGACAACGTTGATAAAACACCACCACCACAAGATGTGTCCGCGGCCAACGCTACAAACGCTAACGCCGAGACAATCGAAAAGATGCTTTCCGAGTTTAACAAAAAATTGGAAGAGCAGGAAAGCTCATTGGTTCGCTCGCAAAACGGGTTAAAACCCTAACTCCGACAACCAGAGCAATTCGCCCCCACGGAACTAGTAAGATCCGCGGAAGGAGGCTCGATTTCGGCGCTCCTATTGATCGTCCCAGAACCGAGCAGGGTAACTTACCGGAGAAGAATTCCGGAAAAGATAACCTTGACGCGACGCCGAACGAATCGGAAAAACCTCCTACTCACGAACAGGAGACCGAGGGCGACGGTATCGAAAGGGTCAACCTGGAAACTAGCGAACAAGCCGATTCATCAAACGAAGACGCTGACGTCCATCCCAGGAGAAGAAAAACCCGCAGTCCTCCGCTGGAGTCTACTCCCGAGCGTTCTCTTACTGGAGACGAGGAGGAACTCGACTTTGCGCGATACGCAAAAACTGCCGAGGAGCGATCTCCGGTTACTCTCAGCAAACGCTGACGAGGTCGGAAAACTGCTGGCAATCTGACCGAGATTCGCGATCTCCGCGAGTACATCACTAAAACGGCCGCAGCGGTAAAAGCGGTGAAATCGCAGATTCATCACGCTACCAGCGCCGCACCTGAAATCGATCGGCTACTGTACGAATCTTGGAAAACACCCTTCACGGCTCGCATCACCGAGGTCGAGCTGCCTGATCCCGGGAAACTTAAGGTGCCAACTTACGACGGGACGTCTGATCCTAAAGCGCACCTGCATGCCTTCCAGATCACCATGGGACGAGCCAAACTCAAGGATCACGAAAAGGACGCATGCTACTGCCTTTTCGTCGAAAACCTAGAAGGAGCAGCGCTCGAGTGGTTCGCCAAACTTAGGCGGAATTCGATCAGAAGTTTTCGCCAACTCGCTTCCGAATTCCTGAAGCAGTACTCGATGTTCATCAACCCGGAAACCTCCGACGCCAACCTCTGGAGCTTGACGCAAAAAGAGGACGAATCTCTCCGCGATTTCATGAGTAGATTTAAACTCGTCATGGCTAGGGTTAGCGGAATCAGCGACAAAGCCACCATTGACGCGTTAAGGAAATCGCTCTGGTTCAAATTAAAATTCCGCAAATGGATAACTCTCGAGAAACCGCGGACGATCCAGGACGCGCTCCATAAGGCTTCTGATTAAATAACCATCGAGGAGGAGACTAAGATCCTGTCCAAAAAAGCATAAAACGACGAAAACATCCGCAAAGGATAACGCGTCCGAGCATAAGCACAAAAAGAAGAACTCTCGTAACGACAAGTTCGTCCATCACGAGGGACTGGATCTCCAAGGAGCGTATAACTACGCCATTAATTCCGGGTTAGAACAAGGACGAACTACGGGTAACACGTGGATGAGAAATTCGAATTACGATGTGAATACTTTCTGCGACCTCCACCAAACCCGTGGACACTCTACCGTGAACTGCAAAGTTCTCGGCGCCAGGCTTGCCGCAAAACCGATCGTGGGAGAACTCTCTGAGATATCCAGCCTCAAGGATGTCATCCGCGACACAGACCGCCTTCCGAAAAACAACAGTAACTCGCGGGCGGAAACTCCGCCTCAGGGGAACCAGTCAGGCGAAAATGCGGACGAAGGCAAGACGAGAAGGGTAACGACGCTAACCGCCGAAAAATCAACATGATTGTGAATCACAATATTACAACGACACCGTCTCGTCAATCAAATCCTACCAACGTAAAGCCGAAACCGGCTCGAGTTGGAAGGTGCCGACGGATGACTCTCCGAAAGGGGTAATCTCATTCGACGACGCTGAAACCGGCGGAATCGACCAACCTCACGCCGATCCCCTTGTCATCGACTTAGTGATAAGCGATTTAGAAGTTGCTCGAATCCTGGTCGATACCGGACGTACCGTCAACGTGATCTTCCTCAACACGCTAGCACGCATGGGAATTGATCTCTCGGAATTCGAACCAATTCCAAAACCGTTGACCAGTTTCTCCGGCGAGACATCCATTACCCTGGGATCGATCCGACTACTAGTCGCAGCGAAAGAAGTAACAAAAATCGTCAACTTCGCGGTAGTCAATTTCCCGGCCATCTACAATGTGATCATGGGCACACCTTGGATAAATTCCATGAAGGCGGTTCTATCGACGTATCACATAGGCATCAAATTCCCGACTCCTACGGGAATCGCAGCAATTTGGGGATGCCAAAGACAATCGCGATCCTGCTTCCTGGCCGAACACAAGCTGCGGCAACTGGCGATCGCAATTGTGAAACCGAAACGGGCAAAGATTACGCCACCGCCCGTGGAAGACGACCCAAAGCAAGCAACGGGCGAGAAACAACAAGTTTCCGCACCCAGCGCTTCTACCCAGCCGGAGGAGAAAAGCCCGGACAAAGGCATTGATCCAACAACTGAAATGATCGAAAAGTCTGTGACAGCCGAGTAAGTATACTCGCACAAACAATCAGAACTACGAGATGGCTTGATTTCTGAAAGAAATATGTAGGCAGCTCGCCTAAAGACGAGTTCAGCTATCCCCCCCCTTTCAAAACGGGGGGGGGGGGGGAGTGGGTGAGTATACGAGTATTCGTATACTCCCAAATGTTTAGAACTTTCACTTTGTAATCGAAATTTTTTCGAAATTCTTTAATAAAGACAAAGTTAGAATATTATAAAATCTCCACTACTATCGAAAACGCAAAAAACCAAATATCAAACATCCGGAAATCGCTTCCGCAGTAACAAGTACTTAAACGTTTCTATGAAACCCGTACATCAAAATATTTTCGGAAAGAACCGGCGAGACGTCGCCTAAATTCTCAAGAAAAATATTCCCCTAAGGCCGTCAACGACTATAAAAACACAAATGCTCAGCGATTGGCCCCGTCGAGCACGCTAGCCGTCCTAAACAAACGCATCGACCTATCGGTTCGCATACATCCAACTAGGATAAAATAGCGCGCTATAAAAGAAATCTAAATTTTTGGTCAGCACTTCCAGGCAAGCCGAGAACCTATCGCGGATTCCAACCATACGAATCATATAAGCCGAGAACCTATCGCGGATTCTAAATCGGTATGGAGTCAGGTTAAAATCGGAACAGGCAAAACGAAAGCCGACTAGTCATCGCATAGCCTCAATCCGAAAGTAAACCTAGGTCTTGCCCTAAACCCAGCACACTGGTCGCTAACGTCTCAAGGCATGAATCGAGATCCTAAAGGCATGTCTATTCGCCCACATCTAAACACTCGCGAAAATCGAAACCGTCCGAGTTAACGAATCGGACAATTTACACCAAGAGTTAGATGCGAGATGACAACTCGTATTCTTCCCTCTACATCTAAAAACGAAACGCAAATTTCATACTTAGAAAATATTTTTTAGAAAGTCTTCAAATA